GACACTACACAACTGCTTCTGCTTTCTCACTGCATACCTGCTTCGAACGGCTCAATGACTCCTGAAGCTGAGTCAATTCCTCCCTCTTGGATTCCAGTTCTCTTTTCACCTGCTCCATCTGCAATGTCTGGTCTTCTAACTATATAGAGGAACCAAGGAGAGAGAGAGGTTGAGAGAGGTCAATCCCACATAGATAGGTCACTCATCATTTCCTTGTGGCTACTCTCTTTTTAACAGAAGAGGCTGATGCTGTTTCAAATCATGTGGGCCGTTGATAAACCAGTGCACTGAATATACTCAACTTTCTTAGTCGGGCATATGCATTCAACAAATAAAACCTTCTAGAACAGTGTTTCTCAACATGGTGGTCGGGACCCCAGGGGGGCTTGTGAGAGCTGTCAGAGGGGTCGCCAAAGACCATCAGAAAACACAGTATTTTCTGCTGGTCATGGGGGTTCTATGTGGGAAATTTGGCCCAATTCAGTCATTGGTGGGGTTCAGGATGCTCTTTGATTGTAGGTGAACTATAAATCCCAGCCACTACAACTCCAAAATGCCAATGTCTATTTTCCCCCAAACTCCACCAGTGTTCATATTTGGGCATATTGAGTATCTGTGTCAAGTTTGGTCCAGATCCACCATTATTTGAGTGTGCCAAGTTAGGTTCAACTCCATCCTTGGTGGAGTTTAGAATCCTCTTTGCTTGTAGGTGAACTTTAAATCCCAGGAATTACAACTCCCAAATGACAAAATGCACCCCCCCCCCCCGAACCCACCAGTATTCAAATTTGGATGTAGTGGGTATTTGTGCCAAATTTGGACCAGTGAATGAAGATACATCCTGCATATCACATATTTACATTACGATTCATAACAGTAGCAAAATTACAGAAATGAAGTAGCAATGAAAGTAATGCTATGGTTGGGAGTCACCACCACATGAGGAACTGTATTAAAGGGCTGTGGCATTAAGAAGGTTGAGAAACACTGTTCTAGAACATGGCCATATAACCTGAAAAACCTACAAGAACCCAAATAAAACCTTAATGTTCAAAGGCTGAATATCAGTGCAGGGAATAAGCAACACAGGATAATTATCTGTTTATGAATTTCCAGAAACCTTGGGTCTCACTCAGCACGACAATGTGATGGGTCAAAAGAACCAGGGGAAAGTCTCTTGCAACCAACAAATTGGCTCCCATTTCATGTTCCTAAGTAGCCCGACACCTTCAGCATCCGGCTTATTCCTGGATCTGAATCCAGAAATCTAAAATAGGTCCCATATACAGTTTCTGAAGATGGCGGGGAGACACTAGCCTCCCCCCCACCCCAACACAGGACAAACAAAGGCAAACTTGGGGTCTTAGAGGTGTTGTGCAAGAGAGATTCTATAGTAGCAAAGATGCACCTTCATTTCAGACTCCCGCTTTGCTTGCTCCATCTGGAAGGCCAGCTGCTCCTTGACCCTGGCCACTTGTTCTTGGCTCTGTTGGGTGACGGTCAGCTGCTTGGCAGTATCTGCATTCTTGGGATAATAAACATTTTTTTTTAAAAAAAGGGATACAAGACCTGAAAAAAATAATCAGGAACCCATAGAAACAGCAATTCCTTTCCACTTATTCTTCTGCACCTTGTGAGACAAATCTGGCTCATCAGAATTTTACCCTCCCAGGTGTGACCCAACCTGAATTGAATCGTATTTTACACTTTGCCTGGGCTCTATCTAGGAATGATTGCACATTTCCTGATCCTTCCACACTCAGCACCTAATCTTTCAGCCATTATACTGTTTTTAAAATGTGCACTGTGATTGTAATGTTTTTTATGATGTTGTTGTTGATTTAATTTTGTTTCATTTTATTTTATTGTATGTGTTTTAATCTGTATTTTTGGGCTTGTCCCCTTGTAAGAGATAGTGGTGGGGTATAAAAATAAAGTTATGAATAATAATAATAATAATAATAATAATAATAATAATAATAATTAACACCATTGCCTAGGAGCCCATGGTTAAAAGCAAATTGTACTCCACATGAGAGCAATGGCACCACTCTCTTTGGAAGGCTCTTCAGCTGCATACCCTGTGCACAGTTGTTCAAAAGCTATAGCTCCCCATGAAACAAGTCTGGGAGAATGACCTCCAAAGGAGACAATAAGGGACACTGGCATGCACTGCCACTGTTACCTTTCTCAGAAGTTCGGCGTGTGTGTTGATCAGCTCGTTGTGCTTCTCTTTCAGCTTTATGTAGCGGATTTCGGTGGCACTGGCCTTCTCTGACAAAGTGAAAGAGGTCATGTTTTACTTTCCTGCAGCTTGTTTAACCCATGCTCTGCATCTACAGTAGTGGGACGGGATGATAGTGGCCACTTTAGTAGACTAGTGCAGAGGTTCTTCAGCGGGGGATCTAACACAGATTATCCATTGAAGCAGAATAGTAGGGGAACTGGGACAGAGTGATGGCAATACTTCATAAGATGCACAGTATTCACTACCACATGGTATAATGAAAGCTGCCAACTTGGATGGTACATTAGATGAGGCTATCAACAACAACTACTTATAAAAGCTATGTATATCGCCTCGAAGATTGGACAAACAAGAGGGTGCTACTGCCCTCACATTCTTTCTGGGACTTCCTATAGGCATGTGTCTGGTCCCATTGGGGACACCATGCTGGGTTATTGAGTGGCTACACTTAGGCTCCCCTTACTTTCTGCTTCCAAAACAAGTCCTCGGCTCTTGTCTCCCTCGAGCTTGGCCTTCTGCAGCCTTTCCAACTCGTCCCGGAGCTGCTCATTGTCTACCAGAGCCTTCTGCTTCTGTTTGCGCTGCTCTTCCACTTCTGCCTCCAGGCTGTTAATCTGAGCCTTCAACTGTGTGATGTATCTTTGAGCCTGGCCACCAAAAAAAAAAGGAACACAGACACAAAGGAAGACACGTTGTCACCAACAGACAGAACCAACGTGCACTAGCAGAGTCTCCTTGGTTCATTACAGCCCCAAACACAGCCCAAAGTCTCCTCATTCCAAGACGTTTCAACAGTTTGCAGTAGTTTCTTGTGACCAATAAGGACATCACAGGGAGACCAAAAGTGGCAGGCTAAAACCCAGAACCTCAATCAGTGGCCGATATCAGATAAGAAACTCCTCCTGGGCAGACAGAAGACTGGGCAACTTGGAAGGCGCTGAACAGACTGCGCTCTGGCACCATGAGATGCAGAGCTAACCTTAAGAAATGGGGCCACAAAGTGGAGTCCGCAACATGCGAGTGTGGAAAACAGTAAACAACAGACCACTTACTACAGTGCAATCTGAGCCCTGTCACATGCACAGTGGAGAACCTTCTTACAGTGATACCAGAGGCACTCCAAGTGGTCAGCTTTTGGTCAAATGAAAATTAGTATGTCAAGTTTTTAACTTTGTTTGTGGTTTTTCTGTACATTGTAACTGTATTCTCAATTCGTTTCTGGCACAATAATAATAAAAAAAACTCTATTCCCTAGCCTGGTATCCTGCAGACATACTGGGCTATAACTTCCACCATCCAGCATAAACACAGCTATGAAGATGATGGGTGATGTGGTTCATAGTCAAAAAAATTTTTTTCAAAGTTCTGCTACTACATTTCTATGTCAACAGGGGCCAAAATGGGACAAAATGCATACTGCTGCCTTATCATGAATCTAGTTTGGCCTTTGTGGTGTGGTCAGGGCTGTTGGGCCCAGTATGAGCTGAGCAAACCAGTGGAAGTGTCGTCTCGTCCGCCATCCTTTGTGGCTTCTGTGATTTCTGCAGGCATTTAGCAAAAAAGCATGAAAGTTTGAAACTTTTCCAAGAAAATTAATTCAAAGACTCTGACCTAAGGATGAATTGCCAAGTTTAACCCTGAGTCGTGTATTCTGTACCTCTGCAGAATCATAGCACAGACGGACGGACAGAAACCAGTCCTACCTCTAGCTTAATCTTTTCTAGCTCTCCTCGCAGCAGATCGATCTCTTTCTTCAGGTTTTCAATTTGGAGATCCCTGCGGATACAAAGAGTAACGCTTAACCTTTGTGCTGGTGTTGAGTAGCACTGCAGAGCATAAACTATGAGCAAATCACCACCAGATCAATGAAGTTAACAAGTAGCTTTCAGTCAACATCTCCCCACTTTCCTTTCTTCCATTAGCAATAAAGGAGAAATATTTCATTACAGAGTATTTCTGTACTATTTTGAATGCTGCCTTCCTTCAAAGCAGTGGTTCTCAACCAGTGGGTCCCCAGATGTTTTGGCCTTCAACTCCCAGAAATCCTAACAGCTGGTAAACCGGCTGGGATTTCTGGGAGTTGTAGGCCAAACACCTGGGGAGCCACAGGTTGAGATCCACTGCTTTAAAGGATCGTTATTTGGATATTTATTTTCTTTTACAGAATTCAAAGTGCTGTTATAAATACTGATCGTCACCATTTAAAATGCTGGCTCAAAGGTCTTGGTCACGTTGCTGATAAAATCAGCCTTACCTGTCATCTCTTATACCGTTGGGAGGGCCAAAGGTCTGCTCAAATATATCAGACACAACCTGCAAAAGAACATTTGAACAAATCAAACAAATGGCCAATGGAGAAGAAGGGCATCCAATGAAAGACTGAATATGCTTGATCACTCCTAAGATTAAAGGAAAGAGTTCACGGAAATGGATAAATGTGCATCATAACAATGTGAACCAGAATAAATAAATAACCATAAAGAATTTCTCTAACACTGCTGCGATTAATTGTTCTTCTAACTGTGCCCCCATACCAACATCTGTGGATGCTCGTCCCATTTTATACAATGGCATAATATGTGGTCCCTTATCAAGGTTTGCTGTTGGGCATTTAAAAAAATATATCTCAAGCCATGGATGGTTGGACTTGTGGACACAGACTCCATGTGGAAACAGAGGGCAATTACAGTACAACCACCGTATCTGTGTGGGTAAGTTCCAAAAAAACACAACAGATACCTAAAAACATGAATAATAGGGAATTCTATATTTTGACTACACTTGGGCGAGAAGCATACCGTAGAACTGCACTGGAGGACCTAGGCCCCTTCTACACTGCTATATATAAATCCAGATTATCTGCTTTGAGTCCCCCTGTTGGAGTAGAGAAGGGCTGGGTACAAGTATGGCCAATAAATAAATAATCTGCTTCACTAATCTGGGTTATATAGTAGTGTAGAAGAGGCTCACAAAAACTTCTGGGGAAGAATATGTTTTGGAGCATGGGCAAGTGAAACCGTAGAGATTGAATACTGCTCAAAGGATGGTATGACAAAGATATTTCCTTGATGCCAAAAGTGCTTCTCTAAGGGCCCTTCTACACTGCCCTATATATCCCAGGATCTGATCCCAAATTATCTGATGATAACAACAACAACAACAACAACAACACTTTATTTAGTTTTAACTGGCGTGTTTTTAACAACTGTTTATTTAATGTTTGTTTTAATGAATTGGTTGAATGTTTTTATGATTTTGATGGCACCAAATGTGCTTGCTGTGAGGCCGCCCTGAATCCCCCTTGGGGGTGAGAAGGGCAGGGTCCAAGTGTATGAAATAATAAATAAATATATTCCGCCCTTCTCCCCGTGGGGACTCAGAGTGGATTACAATGCAATGAGACACACAAACACAAACAAGGCAAAGGCTTCTCCATTCATTTCCAGCTTTTGGGGGCGGTGCTCATTTCTGGCTCTGGGGGAGGTGCTGTTCTCCATTTCCAAGCCAAAAAACCTGTGTTGTCATCTCCTGGTCGTGTGACTGGCATGACTGCTTGGAACGTTTTATGCCTTTCCCACCTATCTATCTATTCCCCTTTGCATGTTTTTGAGCTGCTAGGTTGGCAGGAGCTGGGCTAACAGTGGGAGTTCACCCCATCCCGCGGATTCAAACTGCCAACCTTCAGGTCAGCCATTTAGCAACACAAGAGTTTAATCCATTGTGCCACTGCGGCCCCTTATCCCACATTATATTGCAATGGAGACTCATATAATCCAGTTAAAAGAAGATAACCTGGGATCAGATCCTGGGATATAAGGACCATGTAGAAGGGGCCTAAGCCAATGACCAGGACTCTGTTATTTCTCTACTTTTCAAAGATAGGAATACATATCCCTATTTTATTTTACTACGTTAGATAAACCGTGTGCGATTCCTTACCGGTTGCTCCACAGTAGGGGCAGTGCTGATTTCAATCAGGTTCTCTGGTTCTTCATCTTCCGGCGCTTCCTCTGGGATGACCACGACAGGCTTCACGTGCTCAGCCAGAGCTGATGCCCGTAGAAAATTAGGGGGGCTCTATTGGAGGGACAGCAAAAGGCACCTTAGCAGAGGCGCAAAAGACACAACTTTGACTATACTTCCCGAGAACTGAGCAGCCAAGCTTTTTACCACATCCAAAAAAGTGTTAAGACCCTATTTTAGGAAAAGCCACATAATATAGTAGCCAGAACAAGAGCATACCTCAGGCAGCCGTGGGATCTGGATAAGCCGCTTGAAATACAACATGTCCGAAGCTCTTTTGAAAAAGCTTTTCAGGCTACAGGGAGACAAAGAATGTGCCAGTGTAAAAGCCAAGAGCAAAGTGGCGTGTCTTTTGAGCTTGCAAAAGTAACTTTTTGGGGATGATTACTTCTAAAATTCCCAAGTCAGCATTTCCACTCCCTCCAAAAAAGACTTCTCTGTGTAGAGGAAAGTCAGGGTCAAAAGTAGTGAAGGCACCTTTTCCCCCTCTTAACACCTTAGTTTTCTACACCCAGAGAACTGATTTTTTTAATAGAAGAGAATTCAATCACACAACTTCCTGCCTTCTCCATAATCTGAAACACTCAAATCCAGCTTGATGACCCCATTGAGAGAAAAGGCCCCATGCTGGATTACCTGCGGAACTGCTCATGGAACCGGTCCCGATGGCCTTGCAGCGTATCCGCTGGCAAACCTGGAAAATATAAGAATAAAAGAGTTAGAGCCTTAAACAGACCATGTGTTGGTGTGATATGCTGAAGTTTGGGACAAAATCCCAGGAAGACATCAGACAACTGTGTAAGAAAACCATCATTTGCTGGTTTTCTATCTTTCATGGGTTTTCCAAAGGTTGATATGCTTCTTCCAAGCCTTAGTTCCTGGTAGTAAGAATTTTGGGTTTTGTTTTTGTTTTTTTGCTCTATCCATTTGTCTTTGGCCCAATCTATCAATGGATTGAGCCTCCAATAATACCTCTGAAATTGAATGTGGCTGAAGAGGTTTATCCACTTTCCTAACTGTAAATAACAGGGATTGAATCTGGAACCGTCTCATCTACCTTATGAATGAATAACATCTGGGCAGGAAATGCTACTTCCTTAGTCTTCTCTCCCACTGGTCATTGCAAAGCAAAATTTCTAGCTAGAGCTTTATCTGGCTCACGGGCATCTTCCCATCAGCCCCTAAAAGCAACTCACATGAGTGCAGCTTGAACATCAGCTTCACAGCGTAATGGTAGAGGTGACTGCAGTCCTGGATCACTTGGATGAGGGGAGCCAGCCGGCACTGAACTGCTGACATCTGAGAGACAGCCATAGAGGTATTAAGCTGCCTGAATACTGGGCAGAAAGAAAATGACATATGTGAGTTACATATATGGGGGAATGAGGGAAGGGGGCAAGGGGGAAGGAGGGGAAGGGATTACAAGGGTCAAGGGTGCACATTAGTTTGAGCCAGAAAAAAAAATAATTAATAGTAATGATGTCTAATAAATTAAGAATATAAATTCTAAACACCAAGGGTCTTGGAATCATAATTATTTATTATGTATTTATTTATTTACTTTATTTATATACCGCTTTTCTCAGCCCTCAGGCAACTCAAAGCGGTGAACAACATTCAATACAAAACATCACGAGACAAGTATAGGGCAATTAAAAACAATTGTAATTAAACGTAAGAGAATCAAAACCTTATTGAAGAAGTATGCAGCAGATGTTATTTTACTACAAGAAACACACCAAGGTAAAGAAGGATCAAATGAACTAAAATCAAACTGGATAAGATGCGATGAAAAATCACTTGGAACTTCTAAATCCAGAGGAGTAGCTATAATAATTGCAAAGAAATGTTTTGTTGTTTATTCGTTCAGTTGCCTCCAACTCTTTGTGACCTCATGGACCAGGTCAAGCCAGCCACTTCAAAGATACCATCCATCCATCTTGTCCTTGGTCGGCCCCTCTTCCTTTTTCCTTCCAATTTCCTCAACATCATTCTCTTTTCCAAGATTTCCTGTCTTTTCATTATGTGGCCAAAGTACTTCATCTTTGCCTCTAATATCCTTCCCTCCAGTGAGCAGCCAGGCTTTCCTTCCTGCAGTATGGGCTAGTATGATCTTCTTGTGGTCCAAGGCACTCTCAGAATTTTCCTCCAACACCACAGTTCAAAAACATCTATCTTCCTTTGCTCAGCTTTCCTTATGGTCCAGCTCTCACATCCATTGGTTACTACAGGGAATACCATTGCTTTAATTATGCGGATCTTCGTTGCCAGTGTGATTTCTCTACTCTTCACTATTTTATCAAGATTGGTAATTGCTCTCCTCCCAAGTAAATGTCTTCTGATTTCCTGGCTGCAGTCTGCATCTGCAGTAATCTTTGCGCCTAGAGAAAAGTCTGATATTGCCTCCACATTTTTGGTAATACAGAAAATATTGAAAGATGGTGAAGGCAGATATATAATAGTGTATGGTGAAATAGGGGAAGATAAATAGGTAAAGGTTTCCCCTGACATTAGGTCTAGTTGTGTTAGACTCTGGAGGGTGGTGCTCATCTCCATTTCTAAGCCAAAGAGCCAGAGTTGTCCACAGACACCTCCAAGGTCATGTGGCCAGCATGACTGCATGGAGCGCCGTTACCTTCCTGCTGGAGTGGTACCTATTGATCTACACACATGTTTTCGAACTGCTAGGTTGGCAGAAGCTGGGCCTAACAGCAGGAGCTCACACCACTCCCTGGATTGAAACTGCCAACCTTTCGGTCAGCAAGTTCAGCAGCTCAGCAGTTTAACCTGCTGCACCACCAGGGGGACTATAAAATGCATATTAAATACATAGAACAGAGTTTTAAACACAGGGCACAAGTGTAAAATTCATGCTTCAAACTGGCTAGGTGGTTCTCTCTCTCGCTTTAAAGATGATGACCCAGGGCTCTATATGCCTGTTCCAAATCTTTATTTGCCATGCGAATACAATTCTGGAATTCAGTTAATTAAGAGTGCTGCCCAATCCCCTTTGTCCTAGCCTTGTGGGCCCACTTGAATTATCCAATTATTCCTGTGCCCCTTGTTTTCAAGGCCCCCCACCTTATTAGTAATGATGTCAAGGAGCTCTTGAAGGCCTTGGATCCACCTTTCTTTTTGAATGCTTACGTCCAGAACATCAGAAGCAATTTTCTATAAATTGGTTAGCTTATTTGAGAATTATTTCGCATGACATTCTAACAGGTCAAGTGCTTGCTTGTTCTCTTGCAGTTCTTTGGGGATTTAAATTGCTTTTTTAAAAAATTGGTCCTTGGCTTTGTCTTCTTGCTTTATCTCCTTTGGACCCATTAAGGGACATCTTGTAACTGTCTGGATTGCCATTGCTAGGGGAACATTAAGAGGAGTGGTGGTTCTCATAAAGTTTTTCCATACAGTGGGTGGCTTTCACAGTGTTCAACCTTATTTCTCTCACAATTGGCAACAACTTCACATTGCACATTGGGGTGGGGTGGGGGGGCAAGTCCAGCTAGCTCGTAGAGTTTATCAACAGGTGTAGTTTTAAGACAAGTAAAGGAAAAAAATTAGTGATTTACAGATTTAGGTAAAGTTATGAATAAATGACAATTAAAAGATGTATGGAGAGTACTAAAGGGAGATGAAAAAATATACACAATCTTCCTCTGTACAAGGAGTATATACAAGAATTGATTAGATTTTTGTTTCAAAAATATGTTAAGTAAATTGCTAAATGTTGTTATTGGAAATATTAAGGTTTCTTATCATGCCTTGGTGTTTATGGAGATTGTTTTAAAATGTGATTATGATAAAATGAGACGGTGGAGGTTAAATACCAAGATATTGAATTAGAAATACATTGTGGCTAGAATAAGAGCTGAATGGCAAGAAATTTGGGGACTGAATGAAAGTGAAGTATCAAAAGGAACATTATGGGATACAATGAAAGCAGTGGTAAGAGGGTTATGTATAAAAGAGATAATTAACCTTAAATAAAGGCAAGAAGAAAGGAAATGGAATTTAGAAAAAGCTATAGAAGAGCATACAATAAAGGGAGATATACAAATATATATAAAATAAGAGCATAAAAAGAAGAACTTGATAAAATCGAAACTGATGAAGTACAAGAAAATTTAATATATTTTACGAAGGGAATTTTTTTAATACAGCAATAAGAATTCGAAAACACAATTGATTTAACAGCAAATATTACTACTGTGAGTACTGTTAGACAGACAACTATTAGTAGTAGTAACAACAACAGCAGTAATAGTATACATGTATTGTCTATCCTTCAAAAATTTGAACGGCAACAGACCCAATTAACACTGTTTAGGCTCTTATTAATGAACTATTGTTGATTAAATTTGTACCAAACATTCAAATAGAAAAAAATCTGAATGACTCAAACATTTTGAATGGGAAAGGAAGAAAAGAGCATATCCAACTCAGGGAAAAGAAACCTGACGTCCTGGGGTTTTGGAACTCCAGTTCCCATCAGTCCGTGAACAGTGATGATGGAACCTGGAGTCTAATAGTATCTAGTAGTTCTCAACCTGTGGGTCCCCAGCCAGTTTACCAGCTGTTAGGATTTCTGGGAGATGAAGGCCAGAACATCTGGGGACCCACAGGCTGAGAACCATTGATCTAGAGGATGGCAAGCTTCCTGTATCATTGGCGTAAATGAAAACTGAAAAATTGATCCCTGAGTTGTCTTTCATTTATTTTTCATTACAGTTGAGTGTTCCACAGAAGCTTTCTAGTATCTAAGGCCTGCTTCTTTACCTTGTTGTACATGATGATTGAAATCAAAGGGCACAGATTGCCAGGGTATAAAAATTCAATGGCCAGTGCTCTTGCAGCCTTATGCAGCAGGGAAGGTTTTTGTCAGGTGTTAGGAAGCTGCTTCCCCACTCTGCTACCCAATGTCTACATTAGGTAAAGCTAAAGGTTTTCCCGGAACATTAAGTCTAGTCGTGTCCAACTCTGGTGGTTGGTGCTCATTTCAATTTCTAAGCCGAAGAGCCAGAGTTGACCATAGACACCTGCAAGGTCATTGTGGCCGTTACCTTCCCGCTGGAGTGGTACCTATTGATCTACACACATTTGCATGTTTTCGAACTGCTAGGATGGCAGAAGCTGGGCCTAACAGCAGGAGCTCATACCACTCCCTGGATTCAAACCGCCAACCTTTCGGTCAGCAAGTTCAGCAGCTCAGCAGTTTAACCTGCTGCACCACCAGGGGGCCTATACAATGCATATTAAATACACAGGACAGAGTTTTAAACACAGGACACAAGTTTAAAATTCATGCTTCAAACTGGCTAGGTGGTTCTCTCTCTCATGAGTCATGGGCTTTAAAGATGGTGACCCAGGGCTCTGTGTGCCTGTTCCAAATCTTCATTTGCCATGTGAATACAATTCTGGAATTCAGTTAATTAAGAGTGCTGCCCAATCCCCTTCGTCCTAGCCTTCTGGGCCCACTTGAATTCTCCAATTATTCCTGTGCCCCTGGTTTTCAAGACCCTTCATCTTATTAGTAATGATGTCAAGGAGCTCTTGAAGGCCTCGGATCCGTCTTTCTTTTTGAATGCTTATGTCCAGCACATCAGAAGCAATTTTCTATAAATTGCTTAGCTTATTTGAGAATTCTTTCGCATGACATTCTAACGGTGTCAAGTGCTTGCTTGTTGTTCTCTTGCAGTTCTTTGCAGAGCTGCCTCAGGGAGAGGGATTTAAATTGCTTTTTAAAAATTTGGTCCTTGGCTTTGTCTTCTTGCTTTATCTGCTAGATTGGCAGAAGCTGGAGCTAACAGCAGGAGCTCACACTGCTCCCCAGATTTGAACCTGTGGTCAGCAAGTTCAGCAGCTCAATGGTTTAACCCACTGCGCCACTGAGGGCTCCAATCTCTACAAATATACATATATACACACACACACACACACACACACACATATACATATATATACACACACACATATATTTGCACCCCAATGTCTCCCAACATTTGCGATCGACTTGAAGTACAGTTTTGCCATGGCTTTCATGCCTTTTAAGCCCATGAGAGACCTTTTTAAATCAGTCTACAGAAACGCCTGTTATATGGGACAGGTTTGCCTAATGGTTCTAATTCAGAGAAAAAAGTTTGAAATCAACACAGCTATATATGGTGAATACCATCACTCAAAAAGCATAGAAGGCAGTGTCTTCCGTCACACGTTGGTTGTGCTCTCTAGAATTATGTTTTAATATGTATCTTTTATAGAAATGTATTGGTGGTATTTTCACAATGTTTATGTGTTTTAATTATTCTGGGACCTCTAGCACAGCTGGTTAAACTGCTGATCTGCTGAACTTGCTGGCCGAAAGGTCGGCGGTTAGTATCCGGGGAGTGGGGTGACCTCCCGCTTTTAGCTCTAGCTTTTGGCAACCCAGCAGTTTGAAAACATGCCAATGTGAGTAGATCAATAGGTAGTGCTCCAGTGGGAAGGTAACGGCACTCCATGCAGTCATGCCCACGAAGTGACTTTGGAAGTGTCTACGGACAATGCCAGCTTTTCGGCTTAGAAATGGAGATGAGCACCAACCCCCCAGAATCAACCACGGCTATACTTAATGTCAAGAGGAAACCTTTACCTTTACTAACCTGCCTCAAGCCACAAGGAGAGGTAGGTAAGAAATATTATTATTATTATTATTATTATTATTATTATTATTATTATTATTACAGAGGTATTGAGCAGGGAACAAAGACAGAACTGGGGGACTTTTACTGGGATCTAGATCCATGATCCCTCCTGTATTTTTTTAAATCTTAGATTAAGAAAGTCATAAGGAAGAATGCCTGATAAAGAAAGAACAGTAAGCAATTGGGATTTTTTTTCAATCACTGAGTAGGCATCTGTGGCTCTCACTACCTTTGTTTGCTTAGGCTGCTTTTGGGCAGAACCAAACACGATTGAAGCAGATTAGAAAAGCTTTATCATTAACCAGTAGTGTACATTGCATGGTCCCTATGCAAAAGGCCTGCCAGGTTCACATGGCAACACACAATCAGGCAAGTGAAAGGAGAGAGGGCAAACAGCGCCACAGAGGCACATCCCATAATATCCGGAGGGCAGATATATTTGGTGCTTTGCACAAAAAAAATATCCACAAAGGCCCTGTCTTGGGAGCAGAAACAATGGGAGAGTTGTTTCCTTTTTGGCACCTGATCAAAAGTTACCAAAGTGTCCCTAATTTATACAGGTTGCTGAATTCACCTTCACTTGCAATCTTATATGCTCCCTTGGTGCAGTTTTTTTAAAAAACACAAACTTTTTTTAGCTTTTAGATTTTTATTTATTTATTTACTATCCTGCTCTATCTCGCCCCGAGGGGGACTCGGAATGGCTTACAGTTTGGCAAAATTCAATGCTACATTCTACTTAAGAAAAAAGCAATACATGTCATAGTTAACAAAAAATCAACAAACCTATACATACGAATAAAAACAATTTAAACATATTAAGCATATTTAAACATCATAAAACATATTGAACATTGCACCAATCCCATAGTCATTGTTTGGCTGCTTCATTTGTATCTGTATCATGATGAAATATTATGCTGCAATTCTGTCACTCACCAAACTCCTGCTTCCATAGCCAAGTTTTAACTTTTTTACAAAAGACTTTTTAAAGAAAGGGGTGAGTAGGCTGATCTGATGTCACTGGGAAGTTCCACAGCTGGGGGGGCACCACCAAGAAGACCCTGTCTCTCGTTCCCACCAGTCACACCTGCAAAGGAGGTGGGACCGAGAGCAGGGGATCCCCGGCAGATCTTAATGCTCAAACTGGTTCATAAAGGGAGATACTTTCAGACAAATAAGCTGGGCCAGAACTGTTTAGGGTTTTATAAGCTATAGCCAGCACTTTGAATTGTGCTTGGTAGCAGATTGGTAGCCAGTGGAGCTGGCATAACAGAGGGGTTGTATGCTCCCTTTACATCACTTAGGTGAGCAGACTGGCTGCTGCCCATTGAACTTGGAGCTTCTTGGCTGTCTTCAAAGCCAACCTCATGTACAGTGTGTTGTAGTAATCTATTCAATATATCTCTATCTCTATTTTTATTATTGCTCTTATTTCTTTAAATATCATTTCCCAAAAGTTTTGTAAATTTTACATGACCACCACATATGAAGATATGTCCCTATTTCCTGACAGCCTCTCCAAAACTGATCTGAGTATTTTTATCAATCTGATTTAATCTAATGCAAGTTAGATACCACCTTCATGTCATTTTGTAGTAATTTTCCTTCTTATAGACATATTTTTAGTAATCTCATACCCCATATCCATGCCCATTCTTGATTATTCACTTTTTTCTCCAAAAATAAGCTTATTCCTGTTCGTCCATTAGTAATAGTTTATAGATATCACTTACTGTATCTTTTAATGTTATTTAATGTCTGTTCAAGATATGATGAGAGCATGGACCACTGTGGCCAAGTCTGGCTGCTCAAGGAACGGGCGTAGCTGGCACACACTGAGACCTGGAGTTCCAGGCTCAATGATGAAACTGGGATCACTCCCAAGCTGCGAACTTGCGTCTTCAGGGGGAGTGTAACCCCATCCAACACAGGCTGTAACCCTATGCCCTGTTTGGCCTTTCGACTGACCAGGAGGACCTCTGTCTTGTCTGGATTCAATTTCAATTTGTTCACCCTCATGCAGACCATCACAACTGCCAAGCATCGGTTCAGGACCTGATCAGCCTCCTTAGTAGTAGGTGGAAAAGAGTGATAGAGTTGGACATCATCTGCATACAGATGGCATTGAACTCCAAAACTCCAGATGATCTCCTCCAGCAGCTTTATGTGATGTTGAACAACATGGGGGACAATACTGAACCCTGCGGGACCCCACAAGACAATGGTTGCGGGCTGAACAGGTGTCCCCCAGCAACACCTTCTGAAGTGACACTCCAGGGAAGACCTCCAAGTCCATTCCCAAGAGGCGTCCCAGAAATATATCATGGTCTACAGTATCAAAGGCCGCTGAGAGGTCCAAGAAAACAAACAGGGATGCACTCCCTCTGTCCAGTTCTCTGCATAGATCATTCACCAAGGAGACCAAGGCTGTCTCAGTTCCATAACCCAGTCTAAAGCCGACTGTGCCGGACATATGATGTTTATATAGCTATAATATTTGATCTAAATTGTATCCATAAAATAGAGAGACCACAACACAAAAACAACAGTTATTGCCAGCATGTGCATTTCTGCAGAGCTAAGTGCTGTCAAAGGCCATAGGAATAAATCAGAATATTTTTTGGTAAATTGACAATTCCTGGAGTACTATGTGCAAGAACAAACCCCAGAAGGATGTTGAATATTAAAAGAAAAATAAAGAGAGGGAGTCCTGACGGATGACAGTTTACCTGATTCGGACAGCTTGAGTTCACAATCCATGTAGTCAAATATTTCAACAGTGAGCTGAAAGCTGAAGAGAACAGAGTTAGAATTGCAAAAAGTCAACAGCAGAGTAGGACTTCGAGGACAATACAAAAGCTGCCGTAAAAATGCACAATTAATCCATCTCCTTTTTGAAGAAATGGAATCAGAGCTTGGGAAAGCTGTTTTGAGGAATCCCGCAGAAACCATGGGTGGGAGATTATATATACCTAACAGATTCTAGGGATTGATAACACGGATTTTGCAAGGGTAGACACAAGATATTTTGCTATCTGAGGCAAAGCAGCAAACGATGCCCCTTCTCCCCATGCAATTCAATTGCACAGTACCAAAAAACAAGAGAAATCCAATACATTCACTAGAGCCCAATGAGAAAGAGAAACGACGAGTGTGTTAATTAAGACCGTTTTACAGCACTTTACTTGCATAGCTTAAGGCTATGGGATCATGGGAGCTGTAGTTTTACAAGACTTTTTCTGCCAATCAGTGTTGGTGCCTCACCACGCTACAAATCCCAGGCTTCCATAGCATTGGATCATGGCAGTTAAAAATGGTGTCAAACGGCATCTGTCCTACAAGACAGATGCACAACAAGTTTCAAGATGTTAACAATGGCTTTCATTATTAAACATAGCCAGAAAATATTTGTATGACTTTCTTCAGGGGCTGGTAGAAAAAGGAGAATATCTCTATATTAGCAATTACAGATAAAACACACATTAAAATCAGCACAATTGCATATAAATGTGAGACATGTGTGCATGAAATGATCATACTTATTTCCATGACTGGAAGACCATACCATACCCATATTTTCTGACTTTTTTGTGTTAGGAGCAACTTGAGAAACTACAAGTAGCTTCTGGTGTGAGAGAATTGGCCGCCTGCAAGGACGTTGCCCAAGGGACGCCCAGATGTTTTGATGTTTTCCCATCCTTGTGGGATGCTTCTCTCATGTCCCCGCATGGGGAGCTGGAGCTGTCAGAGGGAGCTCTCCCCAGATTCAAACCTGTGACCTGTCGGTCTTCAGTTCTGCCAGCTCAACAGTTTAACCCACTGCGTCACAAGGGAGCTGACGTATGCTCTTTCAAGCTCCAATTTTGCAAGGATCGGGTGATATGGCAAGCCATGATTCACTAAAACACAAGGGAGAACTTCTAAAGTGTTTTCTGATGCCTACTGAAGCTGAGGGCCCTTCCAGACAGGCCCTATATCCCAGGATCTGATGCCAGGTTTTCTGAATTAAACTGGATTATATGAGTCCCAACTGCCAGATCCATATAAATAAAAATGTAATGTTCATTTGTGGGATTAATATAGCTCAAAAACCATTTGACGAATTGACACCAAATTTGGACACAATACACCTATCAGGACAACAAGTGACCACCACTCATAAAAACACTGAAAAACACAGTGGATGGGGCTTTAACAGCCAAAAAAGCAAAAAGACGCTAAAACGCATGCGCAAAAACAACTCCCCCGGCAAACAAAACACACAATAGCATATTCACACTCTCTTCCAGATTACAGCTCCCAGCATCCCCCAGACCAGGCCCTTTAGGAGAGGAGGATGATCCAAATGCACTGCTTCTAAGATGCCAGCTTTCTTCTCCTTGGATTTCTTTGAGAGCACCCCAATCCCTGCATATTTCCCATTTCCTGTTCCTGGACTGTAACTCCCAGACTGGGCCACAGCACCGCGTGGCAGGGGACGGCTAGTCTGGGATAAACAGAAAACCTGGTATGAGATCTTGGGGTATAGGGCCTGACTGGAAGGGCCCTGAGTGCTGCAAGATGAGTGTTGCCCTTGAAAATTCAAGCTTTCATTTTAGAAGCATCTGATTTTCTGTGCTATCCGAAGCATGATGCAACACATCCACATCTTCATTGATGGAAAACCCATTGTTGCACACGGATAGATTGGGAGCCAGGGGGAAGAGGGGATGCCTGGACACGGTACTAACTGGGCTACCTTGATCTGCAAAGAGCAGGCCTGGCTTATCTTCTGGAAGCTGCTGTGGAAGTATGAAGATCCGTACTTGAACTCAGCCAAAAGCTTCCAGAGCTCAGAGGACAGTCACCTTCATCAACAATAAGGGGCAGATTTTAGCCACCTTACCTCTGTGCACAAGCGCAAAGCGTGCCACCAGCGTTAATCTACAACAATATTTCAAAAAATAAAACCATGATCCAGTTATCAGAAGTTTAGGAAACACTGATCTACCAGAATCACTTAATACCACAGCTAGGCAGCCAGAACGCAACTTGGGCTCTGGTCCAAAGCATGCTTAATGAGGTACATTTCACTCTTGGGACACTCGGTTTACAGCTGGGAAAGAAAGGCCGTCATTATGCTTTGTTCGAGATCTCAAGTAACCCAAGACGCGGGGGGCTGGAGGGGTGGGGGGTGAAACTTACATGTTATTCACATCTGTTCCAGCCGTTTTTTCTAACACCTCGTCCGTCACTTCTAAGCCTGGGGGGAATTCAGGGTGCTGGGGAGGAGGGGGAAATGTGTGAGCATGGTTACGGAGCAAATTTCTGCTGTCAAGCACAACTCAAGAGGTGTAAACCATAAATCCCAAGATACACTCCCTGGAGAAAAGGACTTCAATCCTCACTGTTTTTCCCACATATGTTTGGGAAATTAATGTATGACGCACAAGTGTTTCTTTCAGCAACGTTTTAGGGATGGCAAAACTCTTTATATAGACAGGTCTTGGGCTGCGCCTAATTTGGTTGGAAATCAGGACTACCATCATTCAGAAACACAGGCCTGTGTCCCATAGAAAAAGGGCCCGAACTAGGCAAAACAGTTGGCAAGATTTCAGGTTTACTGGCCTTTAAGGCCTCCGTTAGCTAACAGAATAGTTTTGTGGCCAACAGAATACAGGGTCATTGAGAACCTAATGAGGGATGGACCAAGACATTTTGCTGCCTGAGATAGAGTAGGAATCCCATCCATCCAAGGCAAAGCATACAGTACTCAAAGACAGGCAAGCTTTGGCAGAAGAGGCAAAATATTTCTCAAGTTGGCATGGATAGCCCTGGAGGTCTCTTCTAACTCTGTGATTCGATTATTCCTGCTAGCTTTGCGGAGAGACACATCATTTAGTTTTGAGGCACATCTCTAAGTTTAGGGGCATGGTGAAATGCAGGATCCAGGGAGCAGGAGGTAAAATAAGACAACACACGGGTTGCTGTGAGTTTTCCCGGCTGTTTGGCCATGTTCCAGAAGCATTCTCTCCTGACGTTTTCAATCACATCTATAGCAGGCATCCTGTGAGGTCTGTTGGAAACTAGGAAAATTGGGTTTATATACCTGTGGAATAATGTCCAGGGTGGAAGAAAGAACTCTTGTTTGTTGGAGGCAGCTGTGACTGTTGCAGTTGGCAACCTTGATTAGCACTGACTGGCCTTGCATCTTCAAAGCCTGGCTGCTTCCTGCCTGGGGAAATCCTTTGTTGTTAAACACACAAGAGTTATTTCTCCTACTGTGGACATTATTCCATAGGTATATAAATCCCACTTGCCTAGTTTCCAATATACCTCACAACTTCTGAGGATGCAAGCCATAGATGTGAGCAAAATGTCAGGAGATAATGTTTCTGGAACATGGTCATACAGCCCGGAAAACTCACCGCAACCTAGTGATTCCAGCTATGAAAGCCTTCAACAACACATTAAAACAACACATGGTTCTTCCAGTCCTACCACCTGAAGTAGTCACTTCACTCTAATGATAGGATTGGTCCTGATAATAAATCCTTTTCTGCTTTTCCATTATTCTTCTAATCTACCTCCTGAGGCAAGTGTCACAGCTATTGGGGTGATGACAAAATGAGAAAATTGCTCCAAATCAGAATTGCATTCCTTTGAATGAAATCCTCCTTTGGTAACCAAATGTCTAACATCGCAGTGACTTAAAACTTCAGTTGAGCAATTTGAATGTTTAGGCATCCAAAGAAAAAGGAGGCAGGCAATGTGACCAAAGGAATGTGAACACATGACATGGAAAAGTTCTCAATGTGAACAGGTTTCAGTGTCTGACCCTCTGGAATGCTGGATATGTGGAGACTGAAGGAAAATTTCATGGCGGGAGGGTGGGGGGGAGAATTCTGATTTGGAGAAGCAATGCCCTCAATTTGTCACCATAGTCTTACTCTGCCTAATGGCAGGGCTGAACCCTGAGACAACAAATCTTCATTGTACTATTCAACCTAAAAATAAAAGACTATCTTCCTGGTGGATCTACAGTTTTGGGGGCTACAAAGATCTTTCCTGGTGCAGGGGATAGACAAGAAAGAAAAAAAAAACTACAGAAGATCGATAGATAGATAATGGTAAAAGTTTCCCCTGACATTAAGTCCAGTCGTGTCCGACTCTGCAGGTTGGTGCTCATCTCCATTTCTAAGCCAAAGAGCCGGTGTTGTCCGTAGACACTTCCTAGGTCATGTGGCCGGCATGACTGCATGAAGCGCCGTTACCTTCCCGCTGGAGCAGTGCCTATTGATCTACACATATTCGCATGGTTTTGAACTGCTAGGTTGGCAGGAGCTGGGGCTAACAGTGGGAGCTCACATTGCTCCCCGGATTTAAACCACCAACCTTTCGGTCAGCAAGTTCAGCAGCTCAGTGGTTTAACCTGCTGCGCCACCAGGAGGTAAGGGTGTGTGTGTATATGGCAGGAGTTACACATATATAGAGAGCTTTGGATAGCATAGGGAAGGGTTAACACTGCTGAGGCATTTGTTTTACTGTCTCTGCCCTGTTCAGAAGATTTCCCCTCACTTTCTGTCCCTGTGAAAATGGGATTTTGGAAAATTTGGCTTGTTAGGGAAACAAGGATTTTAGCAGAGCTTCAGTGGAAGAATACTTTTCCCCATGATATAACTCTTCCAGGATTAGGTTTCCCTTCCTTCTGAGAGGCAAATTTCTCTCACTTCTTGTTGTTTCAGCCCCATTCTTAACTAGGAATGGTTTGAAGTCTGATGTTTGTAACTCGAGGACTGTCTGTACTGTTACAATCTATCACAATGCCCATACTCAATGGTCACTCCAGATGTTCAAACCAGACCAGATCTAACTCCAATTTCCCATACACTCAATCCAAAACCAGAAAGCACCACATCCCTAAAGATCGCATAAAAGATTATAAGAGCAGGGACGTTATATAACGCGAAATTACCTTGAGATGGAAGGAGATTTTGGTTAGCAAAAGTTTGGTATAAATATTTACAAGCTGTCCGTAACGATCATGCAGGTGGCCCTGTCGTGGGAAAAAATACATTTCATTTTTACAAGGAGCACAACAACAAACTAAGATCTGCAACTGGCATCCAATGAGGATATCCACCCAATCCAACCAAGCCTCTGCCACCTCTAAACGGACAATAGGAACCCAGATGTACAGGCTTTGTGGCAGGAGGACCTCCATAGGACAGCCAAGGGCAGTCTCATCCCTCCCTGGCCTACATTTCCTGCTTACTGTGGCCACACAAGAAAAGTTCAGTTCCCACCCAGGAATGTATCACCACCATCTAGTATTCAAGTCAAAATCTGAAGGCAGTATTCCAAATCGCTTCCAAATGTATAGCTCTGGATGAAGCCGTAGCATCCAGGGCTTTTCTGGAACTCACCCAGAGGTCCCCGGTTTCTCGGATGTTGCTTCGATACCGCTGACAGTCTTGAAGTACCTACATGGAGCACATGGAGAAGCGAAGAACCACAGCGTCAGTCACATCAGCAATACAATTATGACTATCAACGGGTACTGAAATGATCCCGGTCATGAAGAGCAGAAACACTGGGTAATACATGATGCAACAACAACAACAATTTTATTAGGGTCCATAGACCCATCAGTAAAACCAACAGTCATTATAAATTCTCCCATGACAGGAGAAGTCCGTTGTACAAGATACATCTACATGGTTTCAAGTAATACCCCTATTGCAGGTTAGTTGCCTTCTCAGCCTTGTTGCCACTGTCAGGAATTTTGCCACTATGAGGGTCACCCTGTGGCACTTATCCTCTAAAACAGGGTTCCTCAAACTTTCTAAACAGAGGGCCAGGTCACAGTCCTTCAAACTGTTGGAGGGCCGGATTATAATTTGAAAAAAACATGAATGGATTCCTATGCAGACTGCACATATCTTATTTGAAGGGAAAAAAATTTAAAACAATAAAATAATTCAAGCAAAGAACAATTTTAACAAATATAAACTTATTAGTATTTCAATAGGAAGTGTGGGCCTGCTTTTGGCTGATGAGATAGGACTGTTGTTGTTGTTGTGTGCTTTCAAGTCGTTTCAGACTTAGGTCGACCCTGAGCGAGGGCCAGGTAAATGAGGCCCCTGGGCCCCCATATGTGGCCCCCGGGCCTTAGTTTGAGGACCCCTGCTCTAAAAGATATCTAACAATTCTCTGCGGGGGATGAATCCATGACTGACAGGACTGGATATAAAAGTTTGTCAGGAATTTTGTATATGAACACATGTTGTGAACCAGATCTGAGTCCCTCTTGTAGGTGAGAAGATCGGTATAGAAAACTTTTAAATAAATAAATAATAAATAAATAAGTTTGCTACGTTGCACCGTATAGTAGCGGCACTGCAATAAGATGCGTTGTATTGTTTCTATTTCACTTCCTCCACAGGGGCATAGTCTTTGGGAGTAAGGAATTCCAGACAGTCTGCCACTTGACGGGGAAATACTTTTAATCTCGCTTTTGTAAAGAGTCTGCGATATTTAATCACTGTAAGGCTTTTTAGGTATTCGCAAGTCTTAAATGGCTCCCTGTATGGTAAATTTAGAACTCTGAAGGAGCATGGTGAATTTGAGTGGCCTCTAAGCTCTCCCAGAGCAATGTCCCGCAACCTTTGCTTCAGGGATTCTTCCACCATTTTGAGTCCCAAATGGAGCAGAGGGGTGCGGATAGTCCAATTAAGGCTGCTTTTCGTTCATTCCTCCACGCCCAAAGGGGTTTGGAGGCTTCGTAAGTGAGGTGATGTAGTAAGCCTGTTTGAAAACCATTGTTTTTAACCATAGGTTCATTTTCAGAGTCCAAGCCCTAGTACTCAGTGGGCCTTCACCCGTTTCTAGAAGCAGGACCACATTAGATATGCAAGAAGACACATTAAAAAGATCTCTTATAAACCTTGAATATATGATGCAAATTTAAAAGTCCACAGCAGCCCAAGAATTGGTTGGCAAGATCACAAAGCATATGAAACTTAGCCTTCTCCAATAGCTTTTTTTAAAGAGAATCCAAACTGTAGACACGAGTTGGAGGTGGCCTCAGGCTATTGATGTCATGGAAAGGCAATAAATGGTTATTCATTTGTTACTGTATTTTTAATGTCAGGGCCGGGGAAAGGTGTTTGTGGGATTTTGTTACCTGAAGTGCCAATATACCTCTGCCAGGAATTGGTATTATGACCTGAGATTGGGGAAGGGGATAGTGGCGTTTTTGGGCAGAAAAATATTTTGACCGAGCCCTGTGTGCAGCTGGTCAATGTCTCTGCTCAGTCACTGGTATCACTGATTATTTATATTTTGTACATTGAGCAACTCCTTTTCTGAATATGTATTTCCAACGAGCATTCAATGTTCAGGGGTTACAAAATCAGCTTTCCCATTATCTCAGAGAAGAGTGTCTGGATGTTTCTGGGGTTTTCAATCCCAAAATCAGACATGGAATACAGACTATCCTACCTATAATACTACCTCAATAGATACAGATTCAGTGATACCCACTTTATTCATTAAGAGAATACTTATCCATGGCTGGTGGGAACAAGAGAGGGGGCCTTCTACGTGGTCACCCCCCACTTCTGGAACTTCTTCCCCAAAGAAATAAAGATGGCCCCTTTTCTTCTCTCCTTCAAAAACAACTGGAAACTTACTTTTGCTCATTAGCATACAGAGAGGAGGAGGATTAGATGAGGATATACCTCTACTAAACCTCTGATTGAGACCTGTTATTGCACTCAAAAACAACAAAACTTTATTTATATACCGCTCTATCTCCCCGATGTTACTCTTCCAAGTAACATCATCAATACATACAGAGTAAACAACATAAACATAAAATTAACAAAGCAATATAAGCATAAAAAAACACTGCCTGTTCAAGGCAATTTAAAATAATCCTGCCTGTTCAAGGCAATTTAAAACGGCTGGGCCGAGGCTAGTGCAATTTCTAGGGGGCCCGGGAAATTAGGTGCAATGCTATAGCAGGCAACAACAATAATAGTTATAATCTATGGCTGTTCATTTCCAGGGTCCAATAGGAGGAAGTGACCTGGATAAAGAGGTAGAAAAAGATATGGCCATATGTTGAGCTAGAACTAGTCGTTCTCAAAGGCTTGTTAAAACCACCAGGTCTTCAAGCTCTTACGAAAGGAGGGGAGGGATGGGACCTGTCTTATTTCTCTAGGAAGAGCATTCCAGAGGTGGGGGGCCATCACTGAGAAGGCCCTCTCTCTCATCCCCACCGTGTCAGCCCAGTTAACATCACTGACCACATAACCAACGTAAATATTTTAGTGAACATTCAATGGCTTTTGTAAATTGATGTGGATGTTTGATGTTCTTGTTTTAGATTGAATATAATTTATCTAATAGATTACATTTCATGTAACTTTAGGTGTCATGTTATAATGTGTTTTTATATGTTGGGTTATTTTGCATTATTTTGCTTGTATTTGTTGTTGTATTGAGGCATGGAATGTTTGCCTTTTTGTTTGCTGGAATCCACCCCGAGTCCCTTCAGGGAGATAGGGTGGAATATAAATAAAGTATTATTATTATTATTATTATTATTATTATTATTATTATTATTATTATTAAAAACACAACAAGATTAGTACATAGCAAACAAGATCACTATGCTGGCTGTTGTATTGGATCACACGTCAGACACTTCCCAAGTGTCTAGGACTGTGTGATGTATCAGTGAATAATGCACGTGGATCCCAGTATAGTGGCCTTTTGCAGCTGACAGATGGTAATTTTGTCAGCGCCAATTGTGTTTAAGTGCAGACCAAGGTCTTTAGGCACTGCATCCAATGTGCCGATCACCACTGGGACCACCTTGACTGGCTTGTGCCAGAGTCTTTGCAGTTTGATCTTTAAATCCACGTATCGTGTCAGCTTTTCCAGTTGTTTCTCTTCAATCCTGCTGTCACTTGTGATTGCAACATTGATGATCCATACTTTGTTTTTTAACACGATTGTGAGGTCAGGAGAATAATAATAATAATAATAATAATAATAATAATAATAATAATAATAGATTATTGTTATTGTTGTTGTTGTTATTATTATTATTATTATTATTATTATTATTATTATCATCATCATCATCATCATCATCCTCCACTGGCTAAACGGAAGAAGATTGGAAAACTTACATTCGGATGCCCATCCCGGAGGACTTTGTGGAGAACGTGGCAGAACTTCCAGCTCAGGATGGCACTGCTGGGTAAGGGGAGACCGATGGCGTAGGACCAAAAGGTAAATGCTCCTTTCTCATGATGAGTCCCTAGAATAATTCCTATGTAGAAGTCAAGGGCAATTTAAGTTTGATATGTAAAGGCAGGCAAGGAAACCAAAGACCCCTCTCCTTGTTTGTTTTGCCATCTCCAACAATGGGAATCAGCCTCTAAAACGTTGTAATTTCTACAAAACCATGGAGAAAAATGCCACATTATTAGAAACCTACCATATTGGAGAGAGAAACAGAATGATTTTGAATTTCCTCTCTGTAAAATGCGGACCAATTCACCTCCTATTCTGACACAGAGGCCCCAACTAAATTATGTTCTGCTCAGGGACCAGTCTCTAGATGATATCCACAGGCAGATAATATGAGAGTACTTTCCCAGCTGTGTGGATATAAAAAGATACATATATGGGTTTACAAGGCATCCAAATTGACTACCCAGCTGTCCAGAAGGCTTAAAAGTCAGGACACTTCTCTCCCTCTTATTAGTCATTTTGACTCAGTAGAACTTCCATGTTCCAAAGAAGTACATAACTGAATATCAATTACTGGAGTTCTACAATATGGTACAGGACGAGGGCTGCTATACATGTTTATGGAGATACTTGTTTTGGCCATTATGGGAAACCAATTTGAATCAGAAGGACTCTCGTTAAGCCCAAGGATCTAGTCATGTTAATCCATGCACTTTTAGCCCAAGGGAAAAGTTCAATTTCTTGGGTATTTGGAGCCAAAGGGTGGGACCCAAAAACAAATAAAGAAAAAGTTACCATATATATTTGAATATAAGACGACTCAAATATAAGCCTAGCCACCCAATTTTACCACAAGAAAACTGGAAAAATGCATTGACTCGAGTATAAGCCAAGGGTGGGAAATGCAGCAGCTACTGGTAAATTTCAAAATAAAAATAAGATACTAATACAATTACATTAAATGAGGTATCCGTAGGTTACGTTTTTGAATATTTACATAAAACTGATAATTTACTGCCCAACTCTAATTAAACCATTATTCTAACCTTCTTCAATGTACATATGCTTATGTATTCTTCCAATAATAATAGAGTAAAATAATAAATTTAATTAAAATAATAATAGAGAAAAATAATGGAAATGTAATTATAACAGTAATAGTAGAATAAAATAATAAATGTAATAACAATAACAAATATAGTAAAATAATACATATAATAACAACAATAATAAAGTAAAATAATAAATGTAATAATAATAGAGTAAAAAATAAATGTAATAATAATAATAATAATAATAATAATAATAATAATAATAATAGCAGAGTAAAATTATAAATAACCTTGACTCGAATATAAACCAAGGGGGACTTTTTCAGCCTAACAAAAGGGCTGAAAAACTAGGCTTAGACTCGAATATATACAGTAGGTTTTTTTAAAAAAAAGTTTTTTATTGCTGGGATGCTAAGAAAGCCATATTAGGCTGCAGACCTAATGTTGGGACCAATCTGTACCTCTTGGGATCTCAATATTTAAAACGTTAAAGTCATGTATATTTCTTTGTTTTTGTGTTGTGCATTGGCCGCTCTTGTCGGGAGCCTGTTAAGACATTTTTGCAATTCAGTAAACAGGTTTCTTAGCATATAAGCAATATTACATTAACACAACAGGTCATAGAGGATTCCAGCAGAAATGTATACATATTTTGATAAATAAATTGAAATAAATCAAAAGGGCTGTGTTACTGTACTGTGTGCCAAAGCCAAACAGAAGCCACAGCTGTTGCATCTTTCTCAACAAAATGCATCCAAATATTCAAAACTGGGGTGTCAATAGGATGGGCCAAGTTGAACATGCGTGTGCACATAATTATTAGAGTCTATAGCTGAGGTTCTATAGCAACTCACCTGCATATCAATGGCAAATGCTCTGCCTGCCTACCAACCAGTGTACCAGCCCACCACTTTGCCCTTTCCCACAACTGGATACTCAAAAGCACATTTCAACAGTGGAATGGACTACCTTAGAAGATGGTAGACCTTTGGAGGCCTTTTAATAAAGGTGGGCTGATCATATTTCAGAATTATTTTAGCTATCTATTTCTATAAGACAGGAGATTGGAGTAGATGGTCCTTGTGGCTCCTTACAACTTTACGATTCTGATTTTTGAAAAAATAATAACCAGGGAGTCCAAAAGATCAAGGGACACATTAAGCAAAAAGAAAGGATACTGCGGGCATGCTTCTCTTTCACTGGCGCTTCCAGGGTGTTGATGGCCTTACTGATGCTCATAGCCTAAGATTGGGAAAAGCAAAGAAAACAGATGTTAAAATCAGCACTGATAGAGATGTTGAACTCTAGAGCCATGGAGTAATATGCCCCATCACCCTCATCTTGTTTTAATGTATCTTTACCTATACTGGCATTCCTTGCTTATTCAAACAGATTAGGGATGAGAGCAATTGTCAAAATTCTGAAATTGTCAAACTGCAGTTATGTTTTCATTTTCATTTTTGGTTTTATTTTTAATTCTGTTGTAATTGAAACGGACTTAATTTCATTTGGGTTGAACTGTTGAACTGTTGAATCTGCTGACCTAACGGTTGACAGTTCGAATCCACGGGTTGGGGTGAGCTCCCGCTGTCAGCCCTTGTTCCTGCCAAGCTAGCAGTTCAAAAACATGCAAATGTGAAGAAATCAATAAGCACCGCTTCAGTGGGAAGGTAATAAAGGTGCCCATGAAACCATGCAACACTACCAGGAGGAGTCCGCAGACAACAGGCTCCTTAGCTTGGAAATAGAACAAGAGCACCTCCCCATGGCCAGAATTGAGCACTGCCTCCAGAAGCTGGAGGTGAAAAGGGAAACCTTTACCTTTGCTCTGTATATTTGTGTGTCATTGTTATTTCCACTGTATTAAAGGCATTGAATGTTCGTCTATCTGTGTTTGTTGTAATCCACTCTGAGTCTCCTCAGGGAGATAGAGCAGAATATAAATAAAGTGTTATTATTATTATTATTATTAATAATAATAATAATAACAACAACAACAACAACAACAACAACAACAACAACAACAACAAGTCACCCCCTGCCACACATTGCTGTGGCCTAGTCTGATGATCTGGAAAATAAAGTAATGAGAAAGTGTTGGTTTCTAATATATGTAATTTCTTTATGCTTGTGGGTAAACCGTTCAGTGTTGATGTAGAGATTGTCTGGTTTGCCTGGTCTGGAACATGCAACATACAATTGTCCTTCTTTAGGGGTCCCTTTCATATCTATATTATATCTGTCATATACATATATACGTGTCTGTGTGTGAATCATATCTATCTATCTATATCTATGGCTGAATGGCTCTTTGTCAGGAGGGCTTTGATTATGTTTTCTTGCCCTGGTGAAGGGAGTTAGACCGGAAGGGCTTAAGGCAGCATTTCTCAACCTGGGAGTTGGAACCCCTGGGGGGTTGTGAGGGGATGTCTGAAGGGTCGCCAAAGACCACCAGAAAACACAGTATTTTATGTTGGTCATGGGGGTTCGGTGTGGAAAGTTTGGTCCAATTCTATTGTTGGTGGGGTTCAGAATGCTCTTTGATTGTAGGTGAACTATATATCCTAGTAACTACAACTCCCAAATGTCAAGGTCTGTTTCCCCCAAACTCCCATCTGTGTTCATATTTTGGCATATGGAGTATTCATGACAAGTTTGGTCTAGATCCTTCAATGTTTGAGTCCACAGTGCTCTCTGGATGTAGGTGAACTACAAAACTCAAGGTCAATGGCCACCAAACCCTTCCAGTGATTTTCCGTTGATCATGAGAGTTCTGTGTGCCAAGTTTGGTTCAATTCCATTGTTGGTTGAGTTCAGAATGCTCTTTGATTGTAGGTGAACTATAAATCCCAGCAACAACTCCCAAATGACAAAATCAGGTTGTTTTTTTTAGTAAGGGTCACTCCTTGGGTTAGTAGGTGTCTTATGTCCAAATTTGGTGGCAATTAGTCCATTGGTTTTTGAGTTATAATGTCACTCAAAACGAACAGAGCACACACACACACACACACACACACATATATATACGTGACAAAAGAACAACTCTCAGTGCAATTCAAAAAAATCTGAAAAGTGGGTCATCCAAAAGTGGGCATAATAATGTCGCTTTCTCTACACATCATCTTTCAACCATAGGGATCAAGCGCTACTTGGTCGAAATGGAACAGCTTAGATTCCACTATTGTATGTTTGGCACGCTCCCGGATAAGGTACTTTCCCAGCATCTTACAGCATCACTACATGGCAAAAGGGTCCATTTGGAACTGAATTATTTAACCTGGTTGATCTGGAGGAAGACCAAAATAAAGCAGCAGGTATGCCTCTGGACCTCATCCTAGGAATTACCTAGACAGATGGTGGCTTTGGATAATACTCTTAGGAAGGAAGAGGGGGGGGGGGGGGGGGCATTTTGTTCACCAGCCAGTTCATACAACATGAAGCCTTACTGTTGTACTTGGGAGGAGACAGAGAGCTTTTATTAAAACTTTTGTTTCTCCTGCCGACACAAAAAGTGATGTCCACACCACAGAAAACAAGGGGGAAGCAACCAGTAGGTCATGAAGGATGACTCTGGAGTCCTCCTAATGATTCATACTCAGGTTGAAAAATGGGTTGCTCTACAGCCAGGAAACCCTGTCCGGAAGAATAATAGATTTTCTCAATCTATTTGACATCCTGAAGAGTTGGAGAAGATTTATTCTACAGAAAACAATGCATGTGGCATTTTATTTGCAACCCCCCCCCCCAGTTTCCTTTACAAAAAGTGGGCATGTTCTATTAACACTGCAGAGGAATATTCATTTTGTCTCACTGGGAGGAGAGAACTACAGTATATTCTGGCGTATAAGACTACTTTTTAACCCAAGAAAATCTTTGCAAAAGTCAGGGGTCGTCTTATACGCAGGTGTAGTCTTATGCATGGGAGTCGTCTTAACTCTATATTTTAACTGGAAAAGTTGGGGGTCGTCTTATACGCCCAGTCGTCTTATATGCCGGAATATACGGTACTCTAAATATTCATCTTTACATGGAAATATGAAACAGTCAAGGATGTACATTCTAACTTCCAAATAACCATGGACCTGGTTGAATAACAAAGGTACATGAAAAGGGGAGAGAGGTGGCAAAGCTGCTGCGAAAGAGACCCCCATAAAATGGCCCTCATTTCTGAATTGGTTATGAGCAGCATTCTCTCATATGCAATAAAAAATTAGAAGAAATAAAGAACAAATGGATGACTTATATGGAATGGGTTAAAAAGGGTGAAGCTAACACAGTCATCTTACAGAAATTCAGAAAACTGTGTGTATGGTTAAAGATAACAGTATACAGTGTTCTCTCGCTACTTCGCGGTTCGCTTTTCACGAACTCGCTGTTTCGCAGGTTTTTGCCTTCTGGCAACGATGGCATGTTGAAGGGGGTTTCATCCCCACCTCGGGAGAGAGGCAGCCAATCATTAAAAAAGGGAGAGAGGAGATACAAAGCACTATATAATTCACGGCCTTATAGCCCCTTCCTTATAGCTAGCAAAAAAAGTGCTTTTAAATCTCTCCTTGCTTCCGCCTCACCCTCAGATTTTCACTTTTCGTGGGTGGTCCTGGAACATAACACCCGCAATAAGTGAGGGAACACTGTAGAGAAAATATGTGGTCGAAGGGATAGGTGACAGGTGGGGAAAAAAATTGGTTCCGGGGCCATTGTAGGCCTCTTCTACACTGCCATATAAAATCCAGATTATCTGCTTTGAACTGGATTATATGGCAGTGTAGATTCATATACTACAATTCAAAACAGATAATCTGGATTATATGGCAGTGGAGAAGGGGCCCAAGTTGCCTGCATGGAAATGACTGCGAACTTGATGCGAGTCTACACTGCTATATAATCCAGTTCAGAGCTGATAGCCTGGATTTTATATGGCAGTGTAGAAAGGGCCATAGTTGCCCTCTTAAACAAAGAATAAGCAATTAATGCTAAGATGAAAGATGCACAGGACAATTTTGTGCATCAACAAGTGAAGACCTACGGCAACTACATGCATTTCAGAGGGTTTTCTTAGGCAAAAGATATTCAAGAGGTAGCTCTGCTAGTCCCTTCCTTTGAAATCAAGCACGCAACACCTGGTATTTCTTGATGGTCTACCATCCAGGTACTGACTTCAGCTCACCTCCTTAGCTTCCAAGATCAGAAAAGATCTGATGCCTCAAGGGTACTTAGGATACATCTACGCCAGTGGTTCCCAACCTTTTTTTGATCAGGGACCACTTTGACCAGGGACCACTCTCCAACATTAGTACCAAAAGGGTTATGGAATCAGTTTTTGGTCAACTTAAGATTTGGTTTGGTTATTTGGGGTGCTGATTCAGAAAATTGCATTGGATAGACCACATCAGCTCTACCTTCTGATACAGAACGTATGCCATCCAGTAGTCGCCATCTGCTCGCCCACAGAAAGCCATATTAAATAAGCTTCAGATGAGGGTTTTGCAAGACCAGTTGCTCTTGTTGCAACTGTGTAGTAATGGTGAGGCTGCAGACCATATTTTAGTTCTCGCGGACCACTGGTGGCCCATGGACCACAGGTTGGGAACCACTGATCTACACTCACCTGGAGGGACATTCTACTACATTAAATAGCACTTCTGCCCAGGTAAGTGTATCCAGGATTGTGGACTTAGTCATCATAACACAATGTGGCCATCATTCTGGAAGCATTCCCATGTAAAAAATTATCCCGGCTGTGCCTCATAAAGCTACAGAGACAATCCCACACCAAGACAGAATTAATTACTACCTAAGTAGTCTTCATCTGGGCCAGTGTTTCCATAACATGTCATTAAGAGTGCCACAAAATACTTTCGGCCTGGCACTGGACTTGACAACACCTTCAACTTCTGTATTTCTTCCCTATCAGTTGAAGGAGGGAGCATTTTCTTGCTCCACCATGTTTCAAACCATAATCTAAGTGGACATTCCTCAGCAGCACATGTTTCTGAATTTGGCACACCTCAAAGTAATATTGTAATATAGATGCATAAATTGGCTTCTATACTGAATATGGTCCCCCTGATGGCACAGCGGATTAAACCACTGATCTGCTGAACATGCTGAATGAAAGGTCGCCAGTTCGAATCCAGGGAGCAGGGTGAGCTCCTGTTGTTAGCCCCAGCTTCTGCCCACCTAGAAGTTCGAAAACATGCAAAATGTGAGTAGATCAATAGATACGGCTTTGGCTGGAAGAT